TAATTAATTTATTTTTTTTTAATATTTTTATTTCTTTCTAGGAGAGAGAGAGAGAGAGAGAGACAGCGTGAGCAGGGGAGGGTCAGAGAGAGAGGGAGTCACAGACTGAAACAGGCTCCAGGCTCCGAGCTGGCAGTCAGCACAGAGCCCGACGCGGGGCTCAAACCCACGAACCGCGAGATCATGACTTAAGCGAAAGTCGGACGCTTAACCAAGCCACCCAGGCACCCCCATTTTAATGTATTTTTAAGAGAGTGAGAGAGAGCACAAGCAGGGAAGGAGCAGAGAGAGGGGGGACAGAGGATCCCCCCTGCTGACAGGGGGCTTGACCCTGACAGCAGCAAACCCGATGTGGGGCTCAAACTCATGAACTGTGAGATCATGGTCTGTGTCAGACTTTTAACCGCCTGAGCCATGCAGGTGTCCCTGAAGCGGCTTCCCTTACACACCAGGGCTTTAGAGAGTTTTTTCTCTCTTGGAATCTCAATTAATATGACCAGAAATCAGTCATTCAATAATCAGTTGCCCATGAGGGTGAGGATTTTGACTTTTTAAGATTGAATCTTGGGTTCCTACACAGCATCTAGTATGCAGTAGATGCTCAATAAATACATATGTTGATGAATGAGTGCATGAGTTATTTTTTTTTAAATGTTTAATGTTTATTTATTTTTGAGAGAGAGAGAGGCTGAGCACAAGCAGGGGAGGGGCAGAGAGAGGGAGACACAGAATATGAAGCAGGCTGCAGGCTCTGAGCTGTCAGCACAGAGCCCAACGTGGGGCTTGAACTCATAAACCATGAGCTCATGACCTGAGCCAAAGTCAGATGCTTAACTGACTGAGCCACCCAGGTGCCCTGAATGAATTCTTTAATGTATGCAAGGAGCATGTTTATTCTAGGCCAGTTCCTGAGCTGGGCAATGCTTGAGCACAGTGGCGAGGGACAGAGCCCTTCCCCTGGACTCATAGCCATTGGGGAGGGAGGGCAGACTCATCCTCAGGCAATGATGATCCTGAGGGGGCAGAGGCAGACCAAGGGGGCTTTTGGAGGGCTTCCTGGAGGAGGCAGCAGAGTTGAACACTGAAGGATGAGTAAGAAATGAGCCAAGTGAGGGAACTGTTTCAGGTGGAAATTCCAATAGTTTTCTCCTCCCTCCTATTTCCCCAACAAAGTGTGACAAAGACCCTCTGGCTTCCAGCACCCCTGTTCCCGATTGAGGCGTCACCCCCTCAGTGGCTGCCAGTCCTGGAAGGGAAGGGCCAGGGCTGTTGCGGTCACTACTGTGTCCCCAGCGCTGCCTGGCACAGCAGCAGGGACTCAGGGAATAGCGAATGTTTGCTGGATGAATATTAGAGTTCTCCTGGTGAGACGGTTGAAATGCCTTCTACAAAGAGGGTCAAAGGTCAAACTCCTCCACCCTCAGTTTCCCACCCTGAGAAATAGCCTACCAGGGGGTTCGAGCCCTGAAGCCCAATTGCTGATATTGCTGCGGTTCAACGTCCTCGCCCAGGCCTCAGTGTTTTCATCTGTGAAATGGTATCTCCGTGTAGGTTTCTTTGTTTGTAGGTTTAGGATTAAATGGGGTATTCACACCAAGTGCTGGGCACAGTGCCTGGAGTGTAGTAAATGGTCATCGACCGTTAGTTAGCTGACCCCTCCCCCCCTTTTCTTCCCCCAATCCTTTTTTATTCTTTACTCTTCCAGCCAGAAGCCTCTCTGGCCCCCATCTGTTCTCTCCAGCCATTGGTCTCACCGGTATTTGCCCTTCCCTGTGACATTTCATGCCTCTGAGCCTCTGCCCATGCTGTTCCCTCTGATCCGGACACCAAGTCTGAATGCATCCCCATGGAGAACTCCTACGCAGCCAGCACCGCTCAACCGTCATAAGGCCCTTCCAGGCCCCCAGGTTTCAGAAGCCAGTTTCTTTCTTTCTTTCTTTCTTTTTTTAATGTTTTATTTATCTCAGAGAGAGAGAGAGAGAGAGAGAGGCAGCATGAGCAGGGGAGGCAAGAGAGAGACACACGCAGAATCTGAAACAGGCTCCAGGCTCTGAGCTACCTGCCAGCACAGAGCCCGACGCCGGGCTCGAACCCACGAGCTGTGAGATCATGACCTAAGCCGAAGTCAGGCGCTCAACCGACTGAGCCACCCAGGCGCCCCTCAGAAGCCAGTTTCCTACCGCTCTCAAATCAAAGTCTTTACTGTGGCCCCCGCTTTGGAAATGGCCTTTTTCATTGATGCTCTTGGTGCTCTGTCGCCCCCTTGTGGCCGGTCTTAGACCTGCATGGGAAAAGTGCCGCAACTTCCCCAGGAGTGACTCTGAGCCCTCCTCTTGCTCTGGACCTTGGGAGACCGCCCTGTGCGGACTCCACCCATGGGGGTCCCTTGCCCGCCGCCTTCAGGTTGGGTTCTGCGTATTGGAGGCAATCGGAATGCAGGAGGAGAAGTGGCAGTATTTATCTGGGGAGCCCCTCCCTGCACCCCTGCCCTTCTGGCTGTGGCTGTATTCCTCGCCTAGAGCTACAGGCTCCGTGGGCTCCTCTCCAACCCCCGACTCCCTGCGCTAAGGGTGGTGATGGCTTGGCTCTCACTGCGGCGGGTCCCCTGGTGCGGCCTCATAGCCTCATACTGAGTGGGTTCCTTCACCCTCCCCTCCCCTCTGAAATGTCCCGTCATAAATGCTCCCACTGGGGCGCCTGGGTGGCTTAGTCGGTTAAGCGTCCGACTTTCGCTTAGGTCATGATCTCGCGGTTCGTGAGTTCGGGCCCCGCGTCGGGCTCTGTGCTGACTGCCAGCTCGGAGCCTGGAGCCTGTTTCGGAGTCTGTGTCTCCCTCTCTCTCTGACCCTCCCCTGCTCACGCTGTCTCTCTCTCTCTCTCCTAGAAATAAATAAAAACCTTAAAAAAAAAAATACTCCCACTTAAGTAAGACCTGAAGGGTTACTTGTTTCCTACCAGGTGAGCCCAGGAGAGAAGTGGATCCTCACGACCAGTGGCCCTTTAGAATTTATTTTTAGGAGGCGCTTCGAATGATCAAGTTTCTGACAAGAGGGGTCTGTGGGGCTTGCCTTGAAAGTGATAGAATGTGTCAGGGGTTGTTGCGGNGGGGAGGGGCTACAACCTTCATAATACCTCCCCTGACACTTTCCCTGACTGTGTCCTTGAAGGAGGAAGAAAGGAAATGCCTTTATTCCTCTGTGCATTGCAGGTCGCCTGGGTGCTTGGTTGATTCCCTCACTTTCTGTGTCCCTCAAGAGCGCCCTGGGAAGAAGTAGGAAATATGGCTCAGAGAGGTGAAGTTGCTTGCCCAAGGGCACCCAGCAAATGACTATAAGAATGGCTTCCTAAAAAAAAAGACAAAAAAAACCAAAACAAAACCAAAACCATAACTGTATTGCTTCATTTAAACGAAGTTCTAGAACAGACAACACTAATGTCTGGTGTAAAAAGAGTTTCCTCTAGGGATGAAGTAGACGGTGAGTATTGCCCGGAAAGGAGCAAAGAACAATGTTCTCGGGTGCCGGAAATGTCCTGTGTCTTGATTTGGATGCTTAGTCACACGAGTGTGTCTGTCACAACTCAATGTATTGTTCCCTTAAGAGTGGGGCATTTTAATTTTTATTAAAAATAAAGAAAGATGAGGTGACTGGGTGGCTCAGTCGGTTAAGAATCTGACTCTTTTTTCTTTTTTAATGTTTATTCATTTTTGAGAGAGAGATAGAGTACAAGCGGGGAAGGGGCAGAGAGAGAGGGAGACACAGAACTCGAAGCAGATTCCAGGCTCTGAGCGGTCAGCACAGAGCCCGACGCGGGGCTCGAACCCAGGGACCACGAGATCATGATCTGAGCCGCAGCCGGTCGCTCAACTGACTGAGCCACCCAGGCGCCCCAAGAATCTTGACTCTTGATTTTGGCTCAGGTCATGATCTCGGGGTTCGTGGGATCCAGGGGTGTCGGGCTCTGTGCTGGCCACCAGGAGCCTGCTTGGAATTTTCTCTCTCCCTCTCTCTCTCTGCCCCTCCCCCACGCGCTTTCTCAAAATAAATAAACTTTAAAAACAAACAAATAAAAAAAGAATGAAAGAAAAAAATAATTGGCGAACCTAATCGCTGTCATTTCTGCGTGCTACATGCCAGGTCTGTCCCAAGTGCTTTGACCACGAAGGAATTCTCACGACCAATTCACGAAGGTCGTGATGATCATAGGAAACGTCAGCAAATGTTTCTGAAGCCCTTGCCATTCGTGGATGCACTCGCTGAAAACAGGTGTCTTGCACACCTATCACGTGCCGGGCGATCTTCTCAGCAACAGCCACACGACAGTAAACAAACCAGATGCAAACAGATAATGAAAAAAAAAAAGATGAAGTCTTTTCGAATGTGAGATGAGACAGGTTCTGTGGGGAAAAGTAAATAAATCAGGGAGGAACGGAAGGTCGAGGCGGCGGGGGCATGCATTGACACTGAACTTGACATTCCCCATGACAGAGAGACTGTGAGTGATCACTTGGACGGAGGCGGAAACTGAGGCACAGAGAGGGCATTAGCCCAAGGTCTGGGTCGCCAAGAGGCAGGGTTCCTTCCAGGGGGTGGCCCTGACCCCAGAAGTGGGGATTTGCCGCCTCGTTTGTTCCCTCCCTTGGGAAGGGAGGCATGCGATGACCAGAAAGTTAAGGACTGGGGCCTGGGAGGGGAGGAAATAGCTCAGCTCAAGGAGGGTCAAAGTCTGAAGGGCTGGTCAAGTAGGAGGTGTGGGGCTGGAGGGAAGGGGAGCAAACGGGGCTGAGGGGCTGGGGGTCGGCCTCCAGGCTGGGGACTCGGAGGGCTTGGGGGCGCTAGGGCAGCAGGTGAGGTTTCCAGGCTTTGGCGGGGTGGACCCTTAAAGGGGTTAAGGGGCGGCGACGGGGAGGGGTTAATGGGGGCGGGGCCGGCCGGGGAGGGGCCGGGCTTCGGCCGGCGGCGGCGGCGGCCCCGGGCCGGGAGGAGTCGCCGCCGGGTCCCTGCGCCGCGGACCAGCCCAGACGCAGCGGCAGCAGCAGCAGCAGCCGCCGAGAGAGGCGCCGCGCGCCCCGTCCAGCCGCTGCGCGCAGGTAGGCGCCCGTCCCTCCCCTGCTCGCTCCGGGCGTCCGGCCGCCGGGGGCCGCCCCTCGGCGACCCCCTCGGGGGCTCTGCGCCCCGGCATCGGCGGCCTCTGTCCCCCGCGCCGGCCCGTCCCCGCCCCTCTCTGGTGCTGGCGTTCCCGCCGTCTGCGCGCGGACCGTGTCTCTGGGGCGGTCTCCCTCTCACCGCCCGGCTCTGCTGGGTCCCTACGTGCCGTCCTGTCCCCCACTCGGTGGGCCTCTCCTTCTGCATCTCTGGATGTCTCTGTGTCTCTTTCTCTCTGCCTCCCCGTGGGTCTCTGGCTCTGTCTCTCTGTAGCCCTTCTCCCTGTCTCCCTTTGCCTCTATCCCTCAGTCTCTCGATGAACTCTGTCTCTGAGGATGTCTCTGCCTCCAACTCCTTGGTTCTCCCTGTCTCTGTGCGTCTCTTTGCCCTTTCCCTTCTCTGTCTCTCTCTCTGTCTCTCTCTCTCTCTCTCTCTCTCTCTCTCTCTCGTATTTCTGTCTCTTTCTCCGTGTATCTTAAAGACCCCGTACTGGCACCTTCACCCCATCGTCGCCTCGTTCCGAATTCTGGTACATCCCAGAGGTTTCTCCTGGGCCTGGGCGCTGCTTGGGAGTGGAGTGGGGCCGCGTAGGTTGGCCACTTGGCGCTGGTGGACTCTGAATGGCACTGTGACCCCAGAGCCCCCTTTAGAGAGTCACCCCACTGCTCCTGAGGTCCCACCCACCCCACCCTCCAATTTCAGGAATTCCTGGCTGGGGGGTGGACTTCCTACCCCACTTCCTCCCTTCCAGGATCTGGCTAGGTCACTGTTAACTCCTTCCTGCCTCCACCTCGCTCCCCCCCCCCAAGTGGACGACCCACTGCTCCCAACAAAGCTCAGAGAGAGCTCTGGAATTTCTGTGAGGCATTGTTGGCCATAGGATGTGTTGTGTAGTTGGGCAGGATGTGCACTGGGGGTTTCATGTTCAGGCGCAGACGGAGACCATAGGGGCCACCCCCCTGGTCCCCCCACTCCAGGGCCCCCCACCAGCCCCCTTCCTCTTGAACCCTCCAAGAGGGCCCCTCGCAAGCTCTGTCTCTGCAGATGAATCCAACTTCAGGTGTGGGGTGAGGATGGGGAGGTTCCCTTTTGGGGGGGGGAAGAAATGAAAGCTGTAACGGGCAACTCCTGAACTCTGGGAATCAGAATCAAGAACCCTTGAGCGTGAAGTCTTTGAATGGAAGGGCCCAGACTGGGGCTGCACAGCCTTCAAATCAAAGGTCCTCAGGGTGTATGAATCCTTCAATCCAAAAAACTAGTGTTAGGGGCGCCTGGGTGGCTCAGTCGCTTAAGCGTCCGCCTTCCACTTAGGTCATGATCTCAGGGTCTGTGAGTTCACGCCCCGCGGTGGCGTCGAGCTCTGGGCTGACAGCTCAGAGCCTGGAGCCCGCTTTGGATTCTGTGTCTCCCTCTCTCTCTGCCCCTCCCCTGCTTGCACTCTGTCTCTCTCAAAGATAAACGCACATTAAATTATTTTTTCTCAAAAAAAATATAGTGTTGGGATCTCGGCAGCTTTCAGAGTTCAAAGCAGAGCGCTTGGAGGGCTTACGGAGGCGGCTAGGTCAAGCACCCATTGTACAGATGGGACAACTGAGGCCGGAGAGCAGCAATCCCCACAGTGAGTCAGTGCCAGACTGGGGGCTGGGCCTCCAGTTCAGCTGAAGCCCAAATCCAGGGAGCCGGCTTCTTTTGCTGCCAGTAAGTCGGATTAATTTGGGAAAAGAGGTCTTCACAGTGAGGAGGGAAGAATGCCAGTGTGAGTATGAATAGCTGGAATCCTGAGGGGAGCGTTTGAGAAGGAGAGAAGAGAAAATATTTCCAAAACCGTGGTGGTGGGGAGGGCAGAAGGGACAGGACAGGAGATTTGGGTGGAAGGGGTGGAGTTTCAGAGAAGGAGGGGAGAGGGGGAGGGAAGGGGGGGGTGCAGGGATTAACTCCCGCCCGCTTCTCCTGACCCTCCCCATGAAGCCCACTGCTCCCTCGGGACAGGGCCTATAATTTGGTTTGTGTCTAGACAAATAATAACTCAGCTGGTGTGAGCTAGCTGGGAGGGATGAGGGAAGCGGGCAAGGGCAGGGTATGGGGGCAGCCTGGGCTCTCAGTAGCCCCCCGCCCCAGGTAGTGAGATATCAGGGGCTACCACGACTCCCTTCCCCCAACCTCCCGCCGATCCCTAGTATTTTAGAATCCTGCACAATCTTAGAATTTCAGGCAGCTGGGCTGTTAAAAAGCAGAAGAGACAAGGGGGGAGGAAATGAACTGGGGCTCACTGCCTATAGCGTAGGCTCCCCCATTTCTGTAAAAAAGAAAAGGGAAATACGTATGCTGCGTTTGGCTGGGCAAAGATAATAATCACTGAGAGTTTAATAATAGATTATGAAAGTCGTAGAATGTTTTTAAAAAAAATCATAGAGTGTTCTAACAATAGAACTTTAGAATCTTGGAATGTGAGACTCGTCGAATATTGGAAACTTAAAGGGTAAGGACATGGAAGTCCGCTAGGTTTATAATAATAGAATGGAAGAAAGGTAAAGCTCTAGAATGTTATAATAATAGAATGATAAACCATGAACTGGATGAACAATAGATCCCGAGGCTATGAGGAGGCTGGAATGGAGGGGGGGGCAGGGTAGGAGGACCCTGGCGTCCCTTCTGGGTGGTGTGGGAGGAGGGGGGGTGATGGGGACCCCTTGGGGAGAAACGGGGAAACTGAGGCCGGGCGAGGTGGTCCCGGTGGCCTGTCTGCCCCCCAGTTTCCGCCTGGCTGCCAGGGCACCAGGTGGGGAGCGAGGCGCGGTGATCACATTTCGTCCCCTAATGAGCAGACCGGAGCTGGCCGTCCCCCGGGGCTGCCGAGGGGGGAGGGGGGTGGGAAGCCGGAGCCTGCAGAGGAGGGAAGGGGGGCAGAGAGGCAGTCTGGTGGCTTCTAGTACAAGGCTGGTGAGTGAACCCTGAGGGTGGCCAGGGATGTGGGGGGCTGCCTTCCCCCCTCGTCTTGTGTTCTCAACCCTCTCAGTCCTTTAGTGTTGCTGGATTTAGGGGCGGCCGGTGGGGCCCAGGGGCTTATCTGGCTTGAGCAGCTGAGGCATCAAGTGGGGGCCGGGGTCTGACTAGTCCTTCCTGCCCCCTCACTATCTCTCCACACTTGGGCTTATCTCCCCTCCTTGCCCTTCTGGGGGAGGGGCCAGCAGGGTCTTGACCCCAGGAGGCTGTGCAAGGGAATCAGCTGATGAAGAGGAACGAAAGACACTGTAGTCACTTGCTTTTTTTCATTTTGTGCCAAGAAAATCCTTGTATCTTTTCGCATATTCTCCAGGGGGGCTGAGAACCCCAGAACAACTGGAGAGAAATTACAGGAGCCACAGGGAGTGAGGAGAGAAAACACTCAGGGAAGGGAAAACTCTTTGGTTAAGAAGGACAGGAGATCTGCCCGGTCCTGACAGATCATAGGACTCAGACAACAGTCTTGCTGCTCGGGGCCTCAGTTTCCCCATGTGTACCAGGAAGAGGCCAGAAATAGCCTTGCACTCCCAGCTGGGGCATAGAGACCAGTTGCAGCGCGCAATTCTGAGAGTTTCTGGTCCTGTGCTTTTGAGGGTTTGATGGTGGGCAGATCTCAGGTGGGGAGGAGAGAGGGCTGAATGCCCTCCCCCCCAGCTTAGAGTCCCCAGGAAGCAGGTGTGTTGAGGAGGAGGGGCAGGGGGAGGGGAGGAGGGTGAGGCGAGCTCCCAACTGGTTCCCCCTTGAGGAAATTAGCAATGGGAAGTGTATTTCCTCTGGCTTCCGGAAAGAAGTCTCCCGCCTGTGTACCCGTCCCAGACCCGGCTGAACCCGGGGGGTCTTCAAGGGGCGGGGCAGAGGGAACTCCCAACTGTCTGATCCGTGAAATAACAATTGTTCAAATGCTACACATTTTGTAGATGTTATGATGTTCTACCAAGGATTTCCATGTCTGCGGTGGGGCTAGCATAAACGTTCTGCCCTCCCCGCCTTTATACAGAAGAGGAAACTGAGACTCTCAAAAAAGAAGGAATTTTCTCCATGTTACAAGAAGAGGGAGAGAAAGAAGGGGAGAGAGGCGGAGACCAAGGGACAGAGAGAAGGGGAGCCTGAGCACAGAGAGAGGAGGGGTGTTTTGAGTGACTTGGTCCGGGTGCGGAAGATTGAAAGGGACGGGATTGCTCTTCCGGCCGGGAGCAAGCCCTCTCCGTCCTCTGCCCACGGGATCCAGGGACTTCTGCCTGCGAGTCTGGGATGGGGGCAGCCGCTCGCTGCTGAGGACCCCACAGGGGGTAGGGCTCACTAAGCAGGACTCAGCCCTGACCTTTCAAAGTCAATTATGTAGCAGATAGACGCTGCCCTTTTCACTTTTTCCCTTCCAACCTCTTTCCCTGCGACCCCCCCCCCCCCGCAGGGACGTCTTTGAACTTGTTGGTGGGGGGAGGCGAGAGAATGCTGCCTCTCTTGCCTGACAGGATAGGCTGACCAATGCCATTTATTGAGTGTCTACTATATGCTGGGCCTGTCTTGGGTGCTGGGGCACAGGAGTCCACACCAGGTTCCTGGTCTCCTGGAATGTTCATTTCAGACCCGCAGAGAGATGTGAACAAGATACTAGGTGATGTGAGGAGAGCGCCCTGGGTGGTGGTGGGGGGGGACGTTGGGAGGGGGAGGGGACTCTGGGCATGGAGGCCTCTCCGAGGAGGTGAGGGAGCTTAGTCCTAAGACGCTCTGAGAAAGAGCAAAGGCTTTGAGGCTGAAAGGAAGGTCCTGGGCTTTGTGCCTGATAAGATGGAGGAGGGGAGGGGGGGGAAGAAAGTCAGGCAGCGCCTTGTCACCTGGGGCAAGCAGGTTGCATTTTGCCCTAAATCCAGTGGGAATGCATTGGGGAGGAGGGGGAGGTTCAAGCATAGAAGTAACCCGAGAAGTGATTTCCATGTCACAAAGACCTTTGTCCCTGTGGGAAATGAGTTGAAGGGAACCACGATGGCAGCCTGGAAAGCGGTGAGGAGCTACTGCAAGGGTCCGAGCAAGAAGCGGTGATTGTAGTGAACATCAGACATGGCAAGGGCTTCCGAGAGACATGCGTGGATTGAGGATTTATTGTGGAGGAAGAGCCAAGAGGACTTTCCCATGGAAAGATGCGTAGGCATCTGGAAGGTTCCCAAGAACCTGATGCAGGACCTTGGGCTTATCCCTTCCCCTGTCCCGGCCTCGGTTTTCTCATCTGTCCAGCTGACCTGACCAGTGGTTTTCTAGGTGTGTCCTGGGGTCCCCTCACCCCACCTCATTTCACGGAGAACACTGAGCAGCTTTTCACTGTCTTAGATGGTTCCAGTTAAGATCTTGCTTAAAAAGATTAATAATAATAATAATAATAACATAATGCTGATGATGTTTTCACAGCTTAAAAAACTAACTCTGGGGACGCCTGGGGTGCTCAGTCAGTTGAGCATCCGACTTCAGCTCAGGTCATGATCTCACGGTTCGTGGGTTCGAGCCCTGTATCCTGCACTATGCTGACAGCTTAGAGCCTGGAGCCTGCTTTGGAGTCTCCCTCTCTCTCTCTCTCTTTCTCTCTCTCTCTCTCTGTCTCTCAAAAAATAAAATAAAACGTTAAAAACATTTAAGAAACCCTAACTCTGTGCTAAGCTCTGGACAGAGTGGCTTCCGAAGATGCCACTGATTGAGAACTTGACTCTCCTTTCCTCTGGGGCTGACAATGGTCAAGGGAGAGGGTGGTCCATGAGTGTCTTTGCGCTGTGTTTCCAAGTCTTCCCAAGGGGTAGAGATAGGCCCAAGATTCCCTCAGAAGGGCTAGGGCAGGGGAGAGGCAAGGAGGGAAGCAGTCCCCGAGGGAGGTTTGCAGGCCATTTCCAGGGCTTCCCCTTGCTGTCCGAATGTGATCGCATCCAGCAGCTCCTCCTCATGTCCCCTCCCCACCCCCACCCCCAGTCCAAAGCAGCCATAGTTCCCAGCCCTCACTATCCAGCCGAAGGCCCTTTTCTGTCCAGGTCCAGATCCGGAACAGGATCACAGGCTGGAGAAAAAGGTGAGAGCCAAGATTGTCCCTCTTTCGTCATCAGGACCTTGGACAGGTCTCTGAACAGCTCTGTGCCTCAGTTTGTCAAATAGAAAGGATAGCGGTACTTTCCACATAGGGTTCTTGAAAATGTCATGAATTTATACCAGTAAAAGTGCTTAGGACAGGGTCTGCTGTGTGGTGGGACTTAATAAACTATCTGTTATTATCCGTCATTATCATTGTCAAGAATGGGGAGCCCTGGGTACGTAGTGGAAGGCTGGTCCCAGCCCTCGGCACGGCCTTGCTGTGCATCCTTGAGGGGAGCGACCAGCCTTTCTGGGCCTCACCTCCCTGTCTGTGAAATGACATTTCCTCAAACATGATGCCATACTTGTGCGCTTTACACAGTTCCCGGAAGGAAGTTCCAAAATCTGAGTTGGGTCTTTATTTTAATGTCTTTCAGGGAAAATGTATCTGGATCCCCAAATCTGCATTTTTAGAGATCCGTTGCTTAGAATGAGGCTCAATTAGGCATTGCCAGGACATCCGCCATCTTGCAGCCTAGAGGTTATGGCGAGGGGTAAGGGGAGAAGGGGTCGCCTGTGACTCCCCTCACTGCAGACCTCTCTCCCTCCCTGCAGGCGCTGTCAAGTCAGCTTTGACGTGTGAGGCAGACCACCTCACCTCACCGCTCGGCTCCCACCAAGACCAAGAGCAAGCTGGAGCCCCTCCCCGGTCCCCTTCACTTTCCTCACTCCATCCATAATCCTCCTTGGTAACAGCTCTTACTCATCTCCTTCCTGGTTCTTAAAAATCCTTTGCACATTCCCCAGACTGAGGGCTCCTGCTTTTCCATAATCTTCTCTTTACTGGTTACCTTGCTTATTTCCTTATTTCATACTGGGGTCCTGGGAAGTGTCAGCGCCCTGACTGACCCTCCCTGGTGTTCTCAACACTCCCTAATTACGGTCCGTCTTACCTCAACACTGTCTTGCGTATTTCGCCATTTCAACACAGCCTCACGTACTTTCTCCATCCTCTCCAAATATCTCCCTCTTTTAAAAAACTTTTTAAATGTTTACTTATTTTTGACACATACACACACACACACACACACACACACACGCACACACGCATGCACACACGCACGCACACAGAATCCAAAGCAGGCTCTGGGCTCTGAGCTGTCAGAGCCTGAGGTGGGGCTTGAACTTACGGATGGTGAGATCGTGACCTGAGCCGAAGTCAGAAGCTTAACCGACTGAGCCACCCGGGCGCCCCGTACAAATATCTCCCTCTTACCACTGCCCGCTCATGCCTTCATCTCCTCCATAAACCAATTTTTGTGATACCCCAATACGCCCTCATTTAGGCTTTGACTGGGTCTGTAGACACCTCCCTCGACAAGACAAAGCTTTTTTAATCCCGCCGCCCCACATCCCCCAGCCTCCTTCCTAGCATAATTCTATCCTTCCTCCAACTTTTCCCTCTTCAGCTGTACCCTTCCCCGCCCAGGCCGGCCCACCATTCACGGTCACCCTCATCTCTTCCCCGTGGACCACTTCCCACCATGTTCCCCTGAGCCTCCAAGGAGGGGGCTCAGGGGGCCCGATGGCCTCCCGCCCCCCGTGGCCCCACAGCCCCCGCGGGCCAGGGGAAGCGCCTCCAAAGCCCCAGTGCCGAGCATGGGCAACCGCACGTGGGAGGGATGCCACGTGGACTCACGGGTGGACCACCTCTTCCCGCCATCCCTCTACATCTTCGTCATCGGGGTGGGCCTGCCCACCAACTGCCTGGCGCTGTGGGCAGCCTACCGCCAGGTGCGGCAGCGCAACGAGCTGGGCGTGTACCTTATGAACCTGAGCATCGCCGACCTGCTGTACATCTGCACGCTGCCGCTGTGGGTGGACTACTTCCTGCACCACGACAACTGGATCCACGGCCCCGGCTCCTGCAAGCTCTTCGGGTTCATCTTCTACACCAACATCTACATCAGCATCGCCTTCCTGTGCTGCATCTCCGTGGACCGGTACCTGGCTGTGGCCCACCCGCTGCGCTTTGCCCGCCTGCGCCGCGTCAAGACGGCCGTGGCCGTGAGCTCTGTGGTATGGGCCACGGAGCTGGGCGCCAACTCGGCACCGCTGTTCCACGACGAGCTCTTCCGTGACCGCTACAACCACACCTTCTGCTTTGAGAAGTTCCCCATGGAGGGCTGGGTGGCCTGGATGAACCTCTACAGGGTTTTCGTGGGCTTCCTCTTCCCGTGGGCCCTCATGCTGCTGTCATATTGTGGGATCTTGCGGGCCGTGCGGAGCAGCGTGTCCACCGAGCGCCAGGAGAAGGCCAAGATCAAGCGGCTGGCCCTCAGCCTCATCGCCATCGTGCTGGTCTGCTTCGCGCCCTACCACGTGCTTCTGCTCTCACGCAGCGCCGTCTACCTGGGCCGCCCGTGGGACTGTGGCTTCGAGGAGCGGGTCTTCTCGGCCTATCACAGCTCGCTGGCCTTCACCAGCCTCAACTGTGTGGCCGACCCCATCCTCTACTGCCTCGTCAACGAGGGAGCCCGCGGCGACGTGGCCAAGGCCCTACACAATCTACTCCGCTTCCTGGCCAGCGACAAGCCACAGGAGATGGCCAATGCCTCGCTCACCCTGGACACACCTCTCACTTCCAAGAGGAACAGCATGGCCAAGGCCATGGCGGCTGGCTGGGCGGCAGCTCCACCCTCCCAGGCGGACCAGGTGCAGCTGAAGATGCTGCCGCCGGCACAGTGAACCTCGGGCTTGCGCGGAACCCCTCTCTCCCCCTCCCCCCCATCCCCGCTGCTAGGATCTTATCCCACCCTCCCTTCCCTCCTGGTCTGATGTATGCAAACTGTATGTAAATAAGGCTTGTTAATATTCATAAGAGTATAAGAAAATAGGAGAACGGTGAGGTTGGTGGGTCACTGGTCAGTCATCATCCACCATGACTCCCAAACAATTCAGTTTATCTATGCCTAGCACTGCGCTGGGCGGTACTAGTGACGGGTGACGACGAAGGACACCGCTGGCCCTCCTTCACTCACCCACACTCCAATGGGGGAAACAGACCTGTCCCCGGGCAGTCATGACCCGGACTGGGCGGGGCTCAGACAGGGAGCCCCAAGGGCATCTTACCGGCTCTGTGAGTCCAGGAGGGCTTCCCGGAGGAGGGGACACAGTAAATGAAGTCAAATATTTGGTCTCCAGAGGGTAAAGACAAAAAGAGAAAAAAGGATTATTTCCAACGAGGAGGTAACACTTTGTGACTGAAGGAGATGGAAGAAGAGATTCACCGCGTGTGGAGTGAACAGTTTTGCCCTTGGGAAGCCCCTGGTCATATAAGGGAGTGAGGGCACAGACCATGTGTGAGTTTCCAGGTAAACCATGTTCTCTAAGTCAGGACTGAAGGGCAAGAAGACTGTCAGAACCTAAGGGAAGGGCAATTGGAGCAGATTGGCTGGAGGAATGGCGAGCAAGGCAAGCTTGGAAAGGAGCTCGGGACAAGAGAAGGGTATTTATTCATCTGTTCAACAGAGATTTATTTATATCTACTCTCTGCCCAGCCCTGTGCTGGCTGGGGCTGGGGACACAAGGGTGACCGAGTCAGCCCAGGCCCCACCCTCATGGGGCTCACGGTGAACTAGTAAATAAAAATAAATACAACGTTTGGAACTGGTAAGCGTACTGGGGAAACATATAGCCGATTGACGGGACAGAGGACAGAGAATGACATAACTCTGATCTAGAGGCGGTCAGGGGAGGGCTCACTGGAAAGTGGCGTTTGAGCAAAGACATGCAGGTGTGGGGGTCAGCAGTGCGGCGGTCGGTGGGGAGGCGGACGGCGGGCAGAGGGAACAGAGAATGCAAAGCCAAGTAGCAGCGGTGCAGATGGGGCGGGAGGCCTGGAGGGGCGAGGGGAATGGCTGCTGATTGATGAGACGGGCCGACCTTTTGGGGACTCTGTAGGTCCTGGCGAGAATTTTGCCTTCTACTCTGAAATGAAGGAGAGCCTCTGCTCTTAGCAGATGAGGGATGGGATTTGACCTAAACGTGAACAGGATCCCGCTGGCCGCTAAGTGGGAACCAGTCGGAACGCTAGTGACAGGTGACTGCAGCAATTCCAGGCAGGAGATGCTGGCGGCTGAACGGGGGGGGGGGGGGGGGGGGGGGGGGGGGGGGGGGGGGGTGAGCAACGCACAGCGGTCAGCTTTGGGACTTATCTTGACTTCAAAATGACGGAAGCGGGAGCATAGGGCCTTGTGGGACTGTGTAACACGAGCCCCTTGCCCATCCTGAGAAAAGGGGTAACCAGAAGGACCTCTGGGAATGATCCCAGGCCCTTTTCCAGGGCGGTCACCGGAGAGGCCAAATGACGAGGCCAGGGTCACACAGATGGTGAGTCAACGTTGGGGTTATCCTGGGCTCCCTCTCTCTTCTCCATCTCTGCCTCTGTTCCCAGGCCTCAGGGGCATCAAGGCTGCCTGCCTTGGCGGATGGTGTTGCCCTCCCTCTGCTGGCGCGCGCGCACACACACACACACACACACACACACACACACACACCCTTGTCCCAGAAGACGTTCCTGGAAACCCTTCTCAGAGAAAGGAAGAGGAGGGAGGAGGAGAATGAGAAAAAAATGGACTTAATGAAGAACATGGGGGGCTGGAGGGGGGTTACTGAGATGCAGGAAGTTGGGGCTTGGGTGTTGGGTGTGGAGAGAAAAAGAGGGAAGCCTGGGGCCTCATAACTTTCCCACCCCAAAGCCATAAAGCTACTGGGATGGAGATAGAAGGGGCCAAAACCTTTTGGAACACCATCTCCTGGGAGAATCCGATGAAAGCCTGCCCTCTACCCCTCCACCAAATCCTCATTCCCGTTAATAACAAATAGTTATTATTTTTATTATTTAAGTAATAATAAATATTTATTGAGCACCTACTGTGTGCCAGGCACTATTCTAGGAGCTGAGGAAACAGCAGTGAAATAAACAGAAAAAAAAAAAGTCATGTACAGTTTGGAAGTTTCCTAAACCCATCACGGGGGACCTCAGCCCCAGAGTAGGTCTCTGGGTCCCAGACTAACACCCCAGGAATCAGGAGGAGGGTTGGCTGGGACTCAGAAGTCCCAGCCCCGGCTCCATTCTGATAAGCTCTGGGACTTTGGATAAATCCTTTTCTTCCTCTGGCTTCAGTTGGCCAGTCTGTGAAATGGAGAGGGGGGTGGTCCCAGGTAGATAATTGACCTTGAATAGGCCCCAAGTGTCGTCACACCTTCAGTCCAGAAGGGATCCTGGGAAAGGATAGTTTTTATGGAGTCTTGGCATTTTTGCTAATTTCGAATAGCTGGGTTCACACATGTCAGTGCCGTCATTATTACAGATGGAGATACGGAGGTCCATCTGTCTCAGGGATTTGACACAGGACACTAAAGGAGTCTGAGTGGATGCCGAGGAAAGCCCCGGGTCCCCCTTGGAAAGCCCCGATTGCCCTAATTCTGCCTTCTGAAGGGCTGCATCCTCCCACACACTACTCCTCTGCCCTCCCCTCTCCCTCTGCCTCTCCTAGAATCTCTTAATTACCCATCAAGACTCCGCCATCCAGAAATTTCTCTCAACCCCTCCCTGACCTTGTTTATATGATTTTGCTCCCTGCTGGGTAAAGGAGGACAGTCTGGGACATGTCCTTAAACTTCTTGAGCCAGCTCCCTGGGGATCCTCGCCCACCAATGGAGGAAGTGGGGCTGCTTGAACGGGAACGGGTGTGGTTTTACTAGCCAGGACGCTGGGCTCTCCCCCTTCTGCTGGCTGAGAGACCTGTGCCAGCCCCCCACCCCGACTCTGTGCCTCAGTTCCTTGGAAAGGGTTGGATTAGCTATTTCTGGAAATGGAATGCACCCTCAGGCTGGAGTTAGCAATAATAATGTTAATACCTGTATAGCATTAAGGGCTGTTTATCTAGGGCTTACTGTGACTGGCACCTTCTAGCCACTTATCACGGTTCACTCACTATGTTTTGACATTCAGGATTCGCAGGCAGGCCTTACAACTACCCAATAAGGGAAGTCCCGTTTTGTAGACGGGAATACTGATGCCCAGAAAGGTTACGTCATTGGCCTAACAGCACAAGCAAATAAAGGGCAGAGCTGGGATCCCGACCCAGGTCTGTAAGACTTCACGGTCGGTTTCTTCTTATTCCCAGTGAGGGCTCTAACCTCCGGGGAAAGCGTACTTGGGACTCATTAGCCCTAATCAGGACTAATTAAGAGCCTCCTTTAAGCCAGGAAGCCATCTAAGTACAAGACGTCACGAAGGAACACGGTGACAACAGCCAAGGCGGGCGTGGGAACCCAACCACGCTCCCGCGAGCAGCAGTTTAACGGCACCGCCCCCTGACCCGCCTCACTTCCGCTGTTTATTTGCATATTCAGTAGCCGGACGTCACGCGTCAGCGTCGACGCGGTGACATCAGGAGCGCCCCTGCAGTGCCCCCTCCCGGAGCGTAGACACGCACGCACGCACGCACGGAAACGAACGGGCGGGGGAGGAGGGAAAGATCGGAGGCGCCCCGCCCAGTCAGCGAGGTTGCGCGTGCCCCGTGCGGCCGCCAAGATGGTGGTAGGCGCGTTCCCCATGGCGAAGCTGCTATACCTGGGCATCCGGCAGGTCAGCAAGCCGCTTGCCAACCGCATTAAGGAGGCCGCCCGCCGAAGCGAGTTCTTCAAGACCTATATCTGCCTCCCGCCCGCTCAGCGTGAGTTTGACCCCACGTCCCTCCAACCTTTCCATTCTCCAACCCCTCTCTGGTGGTTGCTCAGGGCGTGGACTTCTGTTTACGGCCAATCACAGCCCGAACCGGCAAAGCTCTACAGCCAATAAGGAGGGTCCTTGGAAGAGGGGCACGCGGGTAGCCCAATAGTAAGAACGGCCGTGGGGTGGGGGGCAGGGCAGGGCTCCCTCGCCTGAGTTGGGAATACCAGCCAATAGAGGAAGAGAGCGCGTGGAGACTGACGTCTAGACGAGCCCATAGTGTGGGGGGCAGTAGTAATGTGGGCGGGACATCCCAACGTGAGAGGCTCTAGCGGGGCGGGGCCGAGGAGAGACTTGATCGGGTCGTTTGCCAGGCCATCCTTAGACGGTTTGGCTTTCAAAACCCACCCGGTGCCTCGGTTTCCCTCCCGTCTCGGGAGTTTGGAGGTGCCTGACCTGGCATGGCATTCAGGGAGGGCTTTCTGGCGTGGGAGACCTCTGGGCTGGGCCCTGAAGGGTGAGGAGAGGGGACAACACGGGGACAGGGAGGATGGCGAAGGAGCTCGGGGAGCATGCGCGAAGGCCACACAGAGCGCACCTTCCTTCCTTCCTTAGAAGTTTGGGTACCGAAAGTGTGCTTTCCAGGACCTAGAATTCTCGGTGCTTTGGTATTTTGTGGGGCCCCTGCCAGAGGTGCCGAGCTTAGAATGGAAAAGCGGCGGGTTTCAAAGTCCCCAGAGTGCTTCCCTATCAGCTGTCTCATTTGACCCTCACACTGTTTTGTCCCCATGTCAGGGAAGGGAAATGACTCCCCCAGTTCACAGCAGAGAACATTGAGGCCCCGGGACCCGAAGTGAGCTGTTCAGGTCGCACGTGGGAGTTTGTGCCAGAGTCAGGACTTAACATCCTGCCCTCTGGATTCCAGCGCGAGTTTGTTTAGAGCCATGGACTTTCCCCCCGACACTGCGCCTTAGCGCCGTGGTTTAGGAAGTGGCTTCTTGGGTCACTCTGACATGGCTTCTCATCGGGGCCTTCCTGGCCGGGTCACTTACCCACTGGGAACTTCAGTCTTCTGTACAGATGGTATTCTATAATAGCGACATTTAATGGCCGCTCGCTTTGTGCCAGGCTGTATGCTAAGCACGTCCCAGGCCTCCTGGCATTCAGACCTCACAAATTATGAGGCAGGCCCTGTTATTATTCCCATTTGGTGCGTTTGCTACATGTTCATTGATGCTGTAAATAATAAGTTGTTGCGAGGAGTAACTGGCTATAAAGTGTTAAGTCAATGTTAAGTCACTGAGCTACGGCTTGTTGGCTGTTGTGTAGATGTGACGGGTACAGAAACGAAGAAAAGGCACAGAAGCTTAGCCTTGGGGATTTTGCATTCTTGGGGCGGGGGCCGGGGGAGCCAGGTAATAAACAGAATAAGTAGTTCAACTATGAATTATATTAGATAGGGGTACTTGCTTTGGAGAAACCACCAGGGCTGCAAAAGAACTGTCTGGGGGGTAGGTTGTACGTTTAGACAGGGTAGCAGGGAGACCTCAGGGAGAAAACGAGGAGAGGCGGGAGCAAGCAGTGCCGATATCCAGAGGAAGAACATTCCTGCACTTGCAAAGGCCCTGTGGTGAGTTTGCCTGGTATGTTTGATGAGCAGAGAGGAAGCCAGTACGGCTGAGCAAAGAGATGGTGGATGGAGAGGAAATAGAAGGTGGAAAGGGAAGGAGGTTGTGGAGGGCCTGGGGGCCACTGCGGTGCTTTGGTTTCACTCTGAGCGGGTGGGACTTCCTGTAGGGGATCAGCAGAGGAGGGACAGGATCTGAGTTATATTTTAACCGGCTCCCCGGCAATCACAGGGTGAGGGTGGATGCAGGGAGGAGCTGACCACAGTACTCTAGGTAGAAGGTGAATGGGGAAGAGGACCTAGTTTCTGGAGATTTTTTTTCCCCTGTCAAACTCAGGGGCGCCTGGGTGGCTCAGTCGGTTGAGCGTCTGACTTTAGCTCAGGTTATGACCTCATGGTTCGAGCTCCGCGTTGGACTCTGTGCTGCCAGCTCAGAGCCTGGAGCCTGCTTCCGATTCTGTCTCTCCCTCTCTGTGTGCGCCGCCCCCCCCCGCTCATGCTCTGTCTCTCTCTCTCAAAAATAAATTAAAAAAAAAAGCCCACTTTAAAAATGTCAAACCCATAGAACAGTTGAAAGAATGGTATAGGGGCGCCGGGCTGGCTCAGTCACAAGAGCATGTGGCACGTGATCTCAGGATCGTGAGTCCTTCCTTGTTGGGTGTAGAGATTACTGAAAATAAAGAAATAAACTTAAAAAAAAAAAGCTTCAGTTATTTAAGAAAAAAAGGAAGAATGGTATAATCATCAGTTATGTACCCTTCACCACCTGGTTCATCAGTTATTCGCTTTCAACATGTTGGCCTCGTGTTCGCTCTCGTATATACATGTGTGTGTACATGTATACGACCTCTTCTTTTCCTGAACAATTTGAAAATACGTTGTGGACATAAATATTGTAGCCTGTGTTTCCTAAGAACAAAGCCATTCTAGGGGCGCCTGGGTGGCTTAGTCGGTTAAGTGTCCGACTTTCGCTTAGATCATGATCTCACGGTTCGTGGGTTCAAGCCCCGCGTCAGGCTCTGTGCTGACTGCCAGCTCAGAGCCTGGGGCCTGTTTCGGTCTGTGACTCCCTCTCTCTCTGACCCTCCCCTGCTCACGCTGTCTCTCTCTCTCTCTCCTGGAAATAAATAAAACATTTAAAAAAAATTCTTAAAAAAAGAAAGAACAAAGCCATTCTCGTAGATAACACAGCAGTGATGTCACACCAGAAAAACTTAACATTGATTACACTGATATTGATAACAATATTCCTTAATATGTGGCTAATATTTAATATGTAGCTCATATTCTGATTTCTCCAGTTATCCCCAAGATGTCCTTTCTAGTGGTTTGTTGTTATTTTTAATCTAGGCTCTGCTCGAGGATCACGCACTGCCTCTGAGTATCATGCCTCTTTAATATCCTTTAATCTGCCACATGGTTCAGCCCTCCAGAGCACTGTCCGTCTTTGTAAATAAAGTTTTATTGACACACAGCCACACTCATTTGTTTGCATACTGTCTGCAGCTGCAGAGTTGGGTTTTATGGCCCACGAATCTAAATTAGTTACCCTGTGGCCTTTTACAGAAAAAGTTTGCTGATCCTGCTCTCTAATGTCATTCTTTTTTTCTCTTCTCTTCTCTTCTCTTCTCTTCTCTTCTCTTCTCTTCTCTTCTCTTCTCTTCTCGGCGTTGACATTTGGAAGAATCCAAGCCCGTCATCCCAGAGCGTCTCATAATCTGGAGCTTTCTGACTGCTTCCTCTGATTTGATTCATACTGAGCGTTTTTTGGCAGGAACACCACAGACACAAGACGGTCCTGAGGACATCACCTCAGGGGGCTCCTGATGTCTGTTTGTTCCGTCATTTTTGATGGTAACTTGGATCCCTTGGTTAAGGTGGTGACCACTAAATGAACCTTTCCTCTTCTCCTTAGTAATGAATCCCCTGCAGGTTTGTTTGGAGGGCTGTGCTGGCAGATTGCCCGTGGATTGGGCGTGACATCGCAAGAGGGGTCAGGTTGGGGGGCACCTGGGTGGCTTAGTCGGTTGAGCGTTCGACTTTCGCTTAGGTCATGATCTCGCGGTTCGTGGGTTCGAGCCCCGCATCGGGCTCTGTGCTGACTGCCAGCTCAGAGCCTGGAGCCCATTTCGGAGTCTGTGTCTCCCTCTCTCTCTGACCCTCCCCTACTCATACTGTCTCTCTCTCTCTTAGAAATAAATAAAAATTAAAAAAAAAAAAAAGGGGTTGGGTTGGACAGAAAGGACCGGGAACTCAGCTCGGGATAGATTTAGTTAGAATTGCCATTAGATACTGGGGTGCATGGACTTAAAATTGAAAAGATACAACATAATGAAAAATTCCGTTGTTTGGGATTTTTCCCTTTGCGGTGGTCCCCTGCCTGTGCGAGTAGAATTTTCCAGAGCCTGTAGCAGCTGTGCATTCTCCTGGGTCAGGCCTCCCCCGCTGACCAGCACATCCAGCATCCGTGCCTTCGGCGGAGATTTCCCCGAGTTCTCACAACAGATCCCGGAGTGGCGGGCTCGGGACGCCTGAGGAAAGGAAAGTAAATGCCAAGAAGCACGAATCGTCGATGATGCGCTAGGTTGGGGAGGCAAGGATCTTTTTGTTTCATTATTGATTTACTTATTTATTTAGGGAGATAGAAGTTTATTGGATACACCGTGAGGGAGCTGCAGCAGAAGAGAGACTGTCTGCTCAGAGATGGCGGTGGGGGGCTGGAGTTAAGAGGAGGAGAGGGAGGGGGTATGGGAAAGAATGGAACTTCCCTTGTTTGATACCTGTGCCCGGTTTTAAGTAGCCTATTGGTCCCCTGGGGGCTATGGATGTTCTGAGGTGGGCCACCTCCTGAGCCTGTTTGCATTCAGTCCGGTGGCTCCCGGGGGCCCCCCCCCCCCCCCCCCCGCCCTTACTTGGGTTTCTGTTGCTCAAGACTGTTGCCTAAAAGCGGTCTCTCGGATCGACGATGACAGATCTTTGGCATCTAAGGCACAGGCCTCATCTTCAGTAGGTGGCCCCTGCTGAAGTGGGGTGGGGGTGGGGGCGCTGTCCCTGCCTAGACTTGTAGGCCCATCCTGGGGTCTGTGTAGTTATGGCCCAGGGCACGGGATTGGCTCAACAGGCTAATAGGCGATGTGAGTGAAGTCCCTTGGTGGCCGGGTCCACAGAGCTTAGGGGGAGGGGACCCTCCCATGGTATGAGCCGGATGCTTGTTGAACCGTGACTTGTATGTGGAATTGTTGGATTCGCCCAGATGTGTAGAAACATAACTTTTCCCATAGATCGAGATGGTGGCCGGATCTGAACAAAGGAGGAAAAGGGGGAACCCAAAAGAAGCAAGGTGGCCGAAGTCAGCTGGGGTCAGGGAAGGGTCCCAA